CGAATAGCAGAAACAACACGTGGTACATGAAAGTGAGAGGGTCCAACTGCTGCAAATGTCAAAGTGGATTTTCATAGTTAACCCTTTTTGGATTTTAAAGAAAAGCGTAGTGTTGAATTTAGACAGATTCGAACAATGACTGTGACATTGGAAGGTTAAAAGTTTATTCCGGAAAGATACCATCACGTGTCTGTTTGATTGATAGTAACAACTTTAATTTTCGATGAATCCAGGTTGGTGCGGAATGCTACCTCATTTTGGTGTGAACATGTCATGGCTTAAAGACTCAATCGAATACTGTAAATGAGCTTGGATTTAGTGGAAAAAAAACATGTACTAGATTTTTTTTTATCATTTAACACGCGTCCTAGAGTTTAAACACAGATATGTATCTAATACATTAAATAGAATATAAGAAAGGAAAAGAACATCAGAGTTGTAATGGAAAGCAATTGATATTCATCTACCTACCTACGTTTATACATGCATACCATTACTTCCTCTTATTTTTCTTTCTGAAACAATCCATACGAATCTCATTTACCATATATCGCAGGTCTTACGATTTATCCTCGAAACTCTTTCTGAACCATCTTGAGCTAGAAATTTGATTTGAATTATACTATAAACGAATATACGCAATTTTTCTGTGTACTCTTTCTTTCTTTTCTCTATAAATTTCTTTCATGCAGCAAATATTACTGGGATAATATTTCTTCAAAAAAATTGCTTATGTTACCTTTATCTAAAGAATCACATGAATGTTGCAGGCCATGGCTGATTTCATGGCTGAAGTAATGGGGCGAACAATATCTTTCGACCCTTCACATGTCATATTAACTTGTGGTGCAACTGCTGCACTTGAGATACTAACATTTTGCCTGGCTGACCAAGGGAATGCCTTCCTTGTCCCTGCACCCTACTACCCCGGGTAAATATATCTCATTTTTCGGGCTAATATTTGATCTTAGATACAGTAACTCTTTCCTTTTGTTCTATTCTGTCTCCACTACATTATTTCCTAAATTTACTTTACATATATTCACTATCATATACTCCTCTGTTGCTCACTATTTTCATAGTTTTTTTTTTTCACTGATCAAGAAAATCATCTATTTGATAATTGATGTGTTTTCCATATTTTGAACTATTTCACTTAAATTATCTTCTTTTTTGAACCATTGATGCCTTTCTTCAGATTCGACAGGGACATAAGATGGCGAACGGGAGTTGAGCTAATCCCTGTCCACTGCAGATCATGTGACAACTTCACACTAAGCATAGCGGCTCTCGAGCAAACGTTCAACCAGGCCAGAAAACGGGGTCAGAAGGTCCGTGGAATTCTCCTTACCAACCCATCGAACCCCGTCGGGAGCCTGCTGACCCGGGACACACTGTACGATCTCCTCGATTTTGCTCGGGAGCGGAACATGCACATCATATCAGACGAGATATTTGCAGGCTCAACTTATGGTGACGAGAAATTCGTGAGCATGGCCGAGATAGTCGAGTCGGAGGATGCTGACAAGGATCGGGTCCACATCGTGTACGGCCTGTCCAAAGATTTTTGCATCCCAGGTTTTAAGGTTGGGGTTATATACTCGAAGAATGAAAATGTTTTGGCTGCATGTAAGAAATTGACTCGGTTCTCTTCTGTTTCGGGCCCGACACAGCTGATTCTGGGGCCAATGCTTTCGGATAAGAGGTTTATAAGGGAATTCCTGAAGGAAAACAGGAA